AGAGAAGAACAGGAAGACCGTTCCTACAAGAAGGATCACCAGGAACAAAGAATACAGTGTGTCTAGACGACAGCAAAGGAATTAACCTCACTAGAAGCAGGGAGATACGCAACAGAAATGGAGACTACAGAAGAGACAAGTTACTGATGGGGCTACAAAGTCAAGGAAATGTGAGAATATCCAGAGTGGCACACCGGGATCTGCTTAATAGAACTGGGCAGTCTGGGCTCTTCAGGAAAGCAGTGTTTCAGAAAGATTAAATTGAAAATAACATGCTGGAGAGGCTGACTGAGAATGTATAGGCAGGAAGTCAGAACGTTGTAGGCAAAGGGTCTGGACTGAGGTGGGAGAAGTTTAAATGAAAGAGAAGGGGTGCACAGAAATATGAAACAGGACCTGACTCTCAACCAGACCAAACACTGATGGAAAGGAATTAATAAAAGACTGAAGTTTCAAGCCTGAGGGAGTGAAGGAAGGGATATTATGATTAAGAAAAGTAGGAAAGGGAGGTTTAAGAGAAGGGAAAAAAAATAATGAATTCCATTTCAGACACGTGAGATGTAGGGAAACAGTGACTGGTCCAAAAGGAAATACATAAAATGCAGTTGGAAAAATAGGACCTAGAGCTCCAGGGAAAGCAATCCACTGGATGTAAGTGGTAGCTGAAATCACAAACATCAATGGTATTTCAAATAGAAAACATAAAAATTCAGGAATTGAGAACATGATCTCTAAAATCTCATATTATACTATGAAAATACATCCATTTAATTATTACCAAACTGATGTGTATACTCCCATGTCCTCAAAATTTTCAAAAACATGATACTTGGCTGTCCTAACAGGACTAAAATGTTAACTCGACTATACTGTTTCACATTTCAAAACTGCAGAAACTACTGACCTCTGCAGTATAATCCATGACGGGGGCGTAAATTCAAATGCCAGGCACATAACTAGATAACTATGAGTAAAACCAGCCCAGTCTGAGACAGAAGGAGTGAAGTGCAGGCTTGGTCTAAAGGCAGCACCTCTAGAGATGAGGGAGATGCTCAGGGAGCCTCAGGGAGGACCCCTTCAACAAAACAAGGCTTGTAAGGTCTTAATTCAGGAACCAGTGAAAGAGCTTTGGAAGGTTTTG